ATAGCCCCCCCCTTCCGATAGTCCAGCATATCGGATAATCCGGCACCCCCTGGGTCCTAAAGGTGCCGGATTATCGGAAGTTTACTGTAGTATGCCATTAGCCTTCTTGGCTACAAGGGCATACTGTTGACTCCTATCCAGCTTCTCATCCACTGTAATCCCGAGATCCTTTTCTACACAACTGCTACTTTGCCAGAAGGTCCGCAGCCTGTAACAATGCTTGGGATTCTTCCATCTCAAATGAAGGACTCTACACTTGTCCTTGTTGAACCTCATCAGATTTCTTGTGGTATGCCATTAGCCTTCTTGGCTACAAGGGCATACTGTTGACTCCTATCCAGCTTCTCATCCACTGTAATCCCGAGATCCTTTTCTACACAACTGCTACTTTGCCAGAAGGTCCGCAGCCTGTAACAATGCTTGGGATTCTTCCATCTCAAATGAAGGACTCTACACTTGTCCTTGTTGAACCTCATCAGATTTCTTGTGGTCCAATCCTCCAATTTGTCTAAGTCACTCTGGACTCTATCCCTGCCCTCCAGTGTGTCTACCTCTCCCACTAGCTTAGTGCCATCCGCAAACTTGCTGAGGGTGCAATCCATCCCCTCATCCAGGTCATTAATAAAGATGCTGAACAAAACCAGTCCCAGAACCGATACTTGGGGCACTCCGCTAGAAACCGACCACCAACCTGACATCGAGACGTTGATCACTACCCGTTGGGCCCGACCTTCCAGCCAGCTTTCTGTCCATCTTACTGTCCATTTATCCAATCCACATTCCTTTAACTTGCTGGCAAGAATGTTGTGGGAGACTGTATCAAAAGCCTTGCTAAAGTCAAGGTATATCACATCCACTGACTTCCCCATATCCACAGAGCCAGTTACCTCATCATAGAAGCTAATCAGATTGGTCAGACACGACTTGCCCTTCGTGAATCCATGCTGACTATTCATTTGCCTTTTCCCAATCATCCGGGAGCTCTCCTGATCGCCACGATTTTTCAAAGATAATGGCCAAAGGCTTCGCAATGACATTTACCATCTCCCTCAGTACCCTCGGATGTATTAAGTCCGGACCCATGGATTTATGTACATTTAGCTTTTCTAAATAGTTCCTAACCTGTTCTTTCTCCACCCAGGGCTGCCCACCTCCTTCCCATACTGTATTGCCTAGTGCAGTAGCCTGGGAGCTGACCTTGTCTGCAAAGAGAGGCAAAAAAAAGCATTGAGTATTTCAGCTTTTTCCATATCATCCTTCACTAGGTTACCTCCCTCATCCAGAAAGGGTCTCCCAGTTTCCCTGATCACCCTCTTATTGCTAACATGTCTGTAGGAACCTTTCTTGTTACCCTTTACACACCTTGCTATCTGCAATTCCAATTGTGCTTTGGCCTTCCTGATTACAGCCTTGCATGCTCGAGAAATATATTTCTACTCCTCCCTGGTCACCTGTCCAAGTTTCCACTTCTTGTCAGCTTATCAAGGATTTTACTGCTAAGCTAAGCTAGTCTCCTACCATATTTGCTTTTCTTACTGTGCATCAGGATGACTTGTTCCTGTACCTTCAGTAATGTGTCCTTAAAATATAGCCAGCTCTCCTAGAATCCTTTCCCCTTCATGTTAGCATCCCAGGGGATCCTGCCCATAAGTTCCCTAAGGGAATCAAAGTCTGCTTTTCTGAAGTCCAGGGTCGGTCTTCTGCTCTCCTTTCTTCCTTTGGCCAGGATACTGAACTTAATAATCTCATGATCACTGCTGCCCAGGTGCCACCCACCTCTGCTTCACCTACTGGTTCCTCCCTGTTTGTGAGCAGGTCAAGGTGAGCCTGGGTCCCTGATTGGACTTAAGTTGTAAAGGGGCAATAACTTGATGATGGTTCCTCACTCGCCCTACAACAAAACTTTACTGCGTAGACATACCCCTAGGGTATGTCTGGACTGCATCCCTCTGTTGGCAAAGGGATGCAGATTAGGCAGGTCAACATTGCAAATGAGACAGGGATTTAAATATGTCTACCTGATCTGATGGTCTAGAGCAGACATCCACCATGACCAGTTGCTCCCAACTCTAAATTTAACCCAAAAACTCTCAACAGGCTTTTCTCCCGCTTTATACAGGAGCTCTGAGCAATCATACTGCTCTCTTACATACAGTGCAACTCCTCCACCTTTTCTTCCCAGCCTGTCCTTCCTGAACAGTTTATACCCTTCCATGATGGTGCTCCAACCATGTGAGTCATCCCACCAACTCTGTTGTTCCAATCAAATCATAATTCTTTGACTGTGCCAGGACTTCTAATTCTTCCTGCTTGTTTCCCAGGCTTCTTACCTTTATGTACAGACACTTGAGATAACCAGCTGATTGCCCCACCTTCTTCGTACCAATCAGAGGTGGTCCTCTGTCACAACTTTCTCCTTCAGTTTCTTCCCAGTATCCCACTTCTCCACTTATCAGTCTAAAAAACTTTAAGTCAATATGTTTTTTTTGGAATATACCTAAGTCACGATAATAAGGCCATATAACTAAAGATAATTATTAGAAACTAACCCTTAAGTAATAATGAGTAGGATACATTTTGAATTTAAATCCGTTGACAATTAAGATCTCTTCCACGTAGCGCTCAAACCATAGTGATGGGCAATTACAGAAATGTCTATTAGTCACTTTAGATGTGGTTCAGAACAATGCACTGCATATGACCATTTCCTTTATATATATTTTAGAGCATGTCTGAGTCCATCTGTCTGTGAGCCTGTTTGTTCAAGAACTCCTCCTAAACAGTAAGAGCTAAGGCCATCAAATTTGATATGCAGCTTCCTCTTCTCCTAAATTAACACAAGATCAGGGTTTGCTTGTGCCAGGCCAACAGGAAATCCCTGGAATGGGACTGTTTTCCATAACATGTAAATGGAGGGAGTAGAGAGGAAGGATGCATTACGTGAGTACTGGAGACAGCTGCACCACCAAGAGTGGCCAGCTAGAGCTTGCCATCTTGCCTGCCACCAGACCAGGTAAATAGTCCTCCTACTTCCCTCCCCTTGGCCACAGCACTGGAGACTGCAGGAAAAGAAAAGACTCCTGACGACTATGGGGGGTTAGACGGAGAGAAAAAGCCCATTCCAGCCGTGGGTGGGGGAGAGAAGGCCCCACTAGATGGGACCTGCCACCCTGAGCTTCTCCTCACCCCCTCCCAACCTTCACTCTTGCACCTTCCCCACATCCACAGCTCCCTGCCCTGAGCCCTTCCTCGACTCCTCCCTGATTCTTGGATCCCTCTCCATGCCACCTGTCACCTCAAGGAGGTGCCCTGACTCTTACACGCCCCACACCACCAGTCCCCTGTCCTGAAGGACCCAGGCAATGCCAGACCAGTCTTCTAGTACAGTAATAAGATACCATGGGCACTGTGTAACTGTTTGTTTACTGTGCACTTGTTCTAAATTCCACTGTCCCTCAGTCTGCCCTCCTATCCTCCCCACAATAAATGTTCAACAAAATACCATGCAGTGGCAACCAACTGAGAAGAGAGAAGCTTCACTCAAATGATTGGCCATCCTCTTCTAATACATCTGTGCAAATTGCCAAACCCACATTATACATTACCATCTCATCAGCCAATCTACACTCAATTCCCTAATATTCTAAAAGCATAGACCTCCCCAAGTTTCAAACAAGCCCACTAATGAACTTCAGCTGCTTCTACATGTAGGCAGTGCAAAAATGAGGTACTTCTCTATTTTCAAATTTCCATGAGGAGTGGTCATTCATTAGAAGATTCACATAAAACGTATCACAATCAAAGAAAAGGCACAGTGATTTATCAAAATAATATATAAGGTTGGAGGACCTTTCTCCAATTAATAGTTGTCCTACCTAAGAAAAATACAATACTCAGTTGTTGTAATTATATTGCCTCTCTAGGAGGATAGATTGTACCATGAGACATGTCTCTGGACAAACAATGGTTTATATAAAGTTTGAAATTCTCACCCAGTTTATCAATAGTAGTGATTAAATCAGATGGAACAAATGAATCCAAATCTGCATCCAAGATTCCTAGGGGATCCAACTGCGCCACATGATGTCCACGGATCTGAATGGATACAATTAGATAGGAAGAGGGAGGAAAAACACACACAAAAATGAATGATAAATGAAGTCAGTAAAAAAAGGGAGAACTCACTAACAGTTGTGCCCCCAACACACAGAACTCATGGAATCAAATATACAAATATATGATAAACCCTATGGGAGCAGACCAATGGTCCATCTAGTCCCCTGGTAGTCAGCAATGTCTCAGTTTCAAGATTATTATGGTCCATAAAATGATAGTCAGCGAACACAGGTAGAACCGCAGGTGGATAATCAGACCAATCCAGGAGCCACAGCTAATCTCATAGTTGGGCAGCCATTTCCAAATGGAAGGGACAGATCTGAACTGTTGAGTGAGACTACAATGCAGTCTTTCCTCCTTTCCCATTTCTCTCTTTCCTGTTGTTAGTGGTTGGTGACAGATGTTTCTGGCAATTAAAAGTTTAAGGATGTCTAGTGCATGGTGGGTTGTGTTCCCAGCTATCTTGGCTAACAATCACTGATGGATCTATTTTCCATGCGCTTATCTAATTCTTTTTTGAACTCACTTATTTTGTATCCTCACAAGTCTCCAAGGCAATGAGTTCCAAAGACTGACAGTGCATTGTGAGAAGTACTTTCGCACAAATTTTTAAACCCTGCTTCCTATTTTCATCTGGTGATCCCTACCTTTTGTATTATGTAAAGAGATAAATAAACACTTTTTCCCTTTCACTGTCTCCTTACCATGTAGATTGTATAGAGCTCTAACATATCCCTTCTTAGTAATCTTTTTTCCAAGCTGAACAGTCCCAGTAATTTTTCTCCCCCCATATAGAAAGCTGTTCCATACCGCTAAGCATTTTGTTTTCTTTCTCTACATTTTCCTCCTCTGCACCTTTTCAAATTTTTTTTTTTTTTTGTGATGAGATGACCAGAACAGTATTCAAAGTGAAGGCATACCATGGATTCATTTGGCAGCATTATGATATTTTCTTTCCCAATGATTCCTCACATTTGGTTAGCTTTTTTTATTGCTGCTGCACATTGAATGGATGTTTTCAGGGAGCTATTCATGATAGCTCTAAAACTTCTTTTCTGAGTGGTAATTGCTAATTTAGAGCCCATCATTCTGTATATATGATTGGCATTATTTTTCCAAGGTGCAATACTTTATACAGACAACCCCCAACTTACAATCCCCCATAATTTATGACTTTTTTTTAAAATGCGAGATAGCTACTCCCCCCCCCATACACACACACACACACACACACACACACACTTATGTCCACAACTTGCATTTATGACGACGTACACCACAGACTCCACATGTCATCCCAATACAGGGAATGCACAAGGTCAGACTCGCCAGTCTGCAGCTGCTGTTTGAACTGCACAAGTCTCCATCACATCGGTCTTCACTTTTTAGTTATTTTGTACATTATTTTATCTATTTAGTTTAGTTTTCCTACATTTCTGTAGTCAATTTTGGTATTTTTAGGGTATGAAATAGGTTTTCAGGAACAGAACCACCAATTATAATATTGCACCTATGGGAAATAAGGGTTTGACTTACGACAGCTTGACTTATAACAGTTTTCCAAGAGCCAATTAGGTCATAAGTGCAGGGGTCTCCTGTACTGTAGATTTAATTCATCTGTTATTTTGGTTCAGTCACCTAGTTTCATGAGATCCTCTCGTAACTTTTGCAATCCGTTTTTGACTTAACTCTTTGAAGTGTTGTGTTGTCTACAAATTTTGCCATTTTGCTGTTTACCTTTTTTTTTCTGAACATTTATTAATTTGCTGAACAGCACAAGTCCAAATATAGATACGTTGGGGCTCTCCACTGTGAAAACTGACCAGTTATTTCTATACTTTATTTCCTATCTTTTAAACAGTTACTGCTCTATGAGAGGACATTTCCCCATACAGCTTAGTTTTTAAGTTAATGGATAAATCTATGAATTACTGGATGACAATTTAATTCAATATACTAGTTTCAATAAACTAGTGTCCTAAACTTCAATGAACAAACTATAATTTCAAAGGTTGAACTAGAATTTGAGTATAAGAAGCAACAACTGAACAACTTAAAGTGCAGTTATACTCTTAAAGCGATTTTCTAAAAAACATCACCATGGAGTTTGGTATTTGTGTCTATTTTCCATAGGACGTATGCTTGGTTTACAAAGCAACAAAACAACTTCCTAGAATTGCCAGTCTTGTAAAAATTTAGCCTTGATGAAGCCAGGCTTCTCATGCAGCATCACCATTATTAAAAGTTCTGCTGATCAAATTGCACCCTTGATGAGACGCACATCCAATTGGAACTGAGCAAACAGGGTTGATGATACTCAAAATGGAACAGAATCCTCAGCTCTATCAATGTTAAGCAGCGCTTGCTCTGGAGCACCAGAAGAACTAGTAAAAGTAACTCACTTGATGCACCAGCAATAACTACTATAATTCTGAAAAAAGCCATTATTGCAATAAAAGCAAAAGGAAAATTTAACATTTAATTTCTGTAGCAACTATGTATGTATACACATAAAGTGCCCAGTATACTCTTTGATGATCACAAGGTTCAAAAAAAGCACAAGAGAGTAGCACTGTCTACTACAGTATAAAATTCTAGCTACGGCATACACATTTTCCTACTTCGGAAGCACAATAGAGTAGCACTGTCTACCACAGTATAAAATGCTAGCTACGGCATACACATTTTCCTACTTCGATTGCTACTTCACCTTGATTTAGTGTATAAAATGCAAATAGTTGGAGAGGGAAAAGAAATTGAGGTTTGATGCTGCAGCATGGGAGAATTTTTTTTTAATCTTTCCCTCCTCCCCCTCTCTCTCCCCCCACCCACTCATGCATCTTTCCCAAGAAATTGCAAGGTAACCGTGTTCTGGAATCACAACTTTTTTTTCTAATTATTGCCATGATAAATGAAGCCAAAAGGAAGACAAATTGATCCCTGTATGACTGATTGAACCAATCAGAGTTGAGAGCTTCAAGACTGTTCAATTTTTAAAATTAAATGCAACAAGTCAGGGAAGTTTGGAAACTGGCATATGAAAAATCAAAGATTTGCAAGCAAATCTGGGA